CGGCCGCGGCTGCTGCGTTCTCTGCGGAGCCGGGGAGGTGCGGCTGGATGGGAACGTGGGCCGGGAGAGCAGCGGGAGGCAGCCCTGGCCTCGGACGGGCCTTTGGCTCTGACAGAGTGTCGCAGGGTACTGCTAAAATCTTAAAAAGCTTCAGCTCTGCGCCCTCAGCAGTGCCGGGAAGGGGTGGGACGGGAGGGCTGGCTTGAAATTTAATCGTGTGGAAAGCGAGGTCGTGTACTTGGGGAAAGACTTGCCGGTGTAAGGCGAGCGCTGCTGCCCGGCCGAGGTCATGAGCTGGCGGGGAGGACGGCGGGGGCTGCAGGGAGGGCACGGCTGAGACAGGAGCAAATGTGATCCCGACAGATCCCGGGAGAGCAGGGAAACAGGCCTAGGAACGAATGCGTGTGTATCCTCTCCTGCTCGGGAGAGACGAGCTTGCCCAGTGATCAGGGATGATGAGCCCATTTTAGAGGAGCCAAAAGAAGCTGAGATGTCTTGAAAAGCTGGGAGAGAAATGATGATGGTGAGGATGATATTGTCACATTGGCAGCGTGAAATGAAGAGAGCTCCTTCAGTTAATATACAGCAACAAACACCAAGGAATGAACATTAGTGGGAAGTTGTGGGGTTTTTAACCATTAAAAAGGTGGGATCTGGGTTGTCACTCCCAAGGGGACTGGAGAGGCAGAGGGTAGCAGTTCTAAGGCAGCGTTTGGTTGCTTTAGGAAAAGCACAGGGGGTGGTGATTGCTGCTAAAAGAGGAATGAGGCTGGGGAGAGCTCCAGAGCTGAGTAGAGGAGTGGGAACATGAAGGCTGGGATGGACACTGCCATGCCAGTGTCCTCTGGATCCTCCACATGAGCCATGCTCAAGGTTAAATTTCTCCAGGTCCTTGCAAGTGTAGGTTTGTGCCCCTTGGCCCGAGGAAAAGCTGCTCTGAGGTGGTCTCCTTGCACCAGTGAGAACTGGGGAGGGGTCTGGTGGTTGTCACATTCTAGGCTGAGCCTAAATGGTCAGGTGGTGAGGTCAGGCACCATGATTTTAAGTAGAAATGTTTTAAATTATAATTCTAGTGGGTTTGGGCTGTATGTAGAACTCTGAGAAACTTTGGGAATATGCACAAGAGCCTCCTGCTTGTTCCCTTCACCCAAAGTACTGAAAATGGAGCTTTAATTTCAGCAGGGGCCCTGCTGATTCCAGAGTGTGACCAGAGTAGGCAGCAGAAAAAATTACAGTGAGTATTACATAGACATGGCATGGTATATAACCACAGTATGTCATTCATTCATGTTCAGGAACTAAACAAACTCATGTGGAAAGCACAGGCTGAAAACTTCCCTCTCCCACAGGCTTCTCTGCCTCAAAGCTTTGGTGACATCCCAGTGCCCCAGGAAATCCCCGGAAGTGTTTAGCGATGTTCCTGCTCTGTTCTCCTTAGGTGTTATGTGAGGAGCTAATTCTGGCTTGGAGGTAGGAAGGCAGTGACTTCATGGCTGTAATGAGGGCAGGGGGATGGGGCTGTGTCCCCAAATGTCCCCGAGCAATGCCCCAAACGTGGTCAGTCCTGCCCAGCTGCTCTTACAGGGGTGGTGGAGCTGCACTCAGGGCTGATTCACGTTGGGGCTGGGAATGGGGATGTGTGTGTTCCTACCGAGTAGCACAACATCCTGCCACAGGTGTGGCAGGGACAGGTAACAGTGAGGGAGCTTCTCTGATTTCAGAACCTTTTCTAATAAGGCCAAAGACCATGCTGAGCTTCTTGTGTTCCCTCAACAGGTCTTGCACCTCAGATTTGGTTCTGAAACTCACTTCTCTGTGTTCCTGTTCTGCTCTGTCTCAGCTGCAGTTACAAAGGGGTGCAGAATGTCTCCCTCAGCACCTGGTGTTGGTTTATGTTTTTGAAGGTCACTTCCAAATCAGCTCTTTCTGTGCCTGGGAAGCCACAATGGGCACTCCTTTCCTTCTGGATGAGGCACAGGTGGCAAACATGTCCTGGGAGCACAGCTAAGGCGCTCCTGTAGCTGAGGGGTGTTCAGGCAGGACCCAGACTAAAGCCTGTCCACAGCATCTCTGTGTTTTGGGGAGAGTTTGGGTCCTTGTCATGGTGTTGACACCTGCAGAAGTGTTGCTGTTGCCAGTCTTACTAACACAGCCAAAGAAGGGATGAAAGTAATTTTATTATGTAAAAGAATATATCTTTTCCTTTTCAAATGTGAATTTAGCAGATAAGTGCATGTGTTTAAAGGATGTTGTTGATCTTCCAGTATGAGGCTGAGTGGTTTTGGAAGGAAATACACATACTTGTTAGTATCAAGATCCAAGACTAGTTTTCTGCTTGTGGGTAAAGAGAAGTATGAATTTCAGTGTTCTATGTCTGTTTGTGGTACATGGTAAAGCCCTACATTTGATTTCTTATGATTGCTTTAACCCAGAGAGAATATCCTGGCTTGAAAGAAACTAAATTTTTTTAAATAGTGGGTTTTGGTGGGTCTGCAGTGGGGCTTCACTCCTGCTTCTATTAGCAGGGCTCTTTACCATGTGACAGTTCTCCTGTACCTTTCCAGGAAAGGCTGCTGGCTGCCAGGTGAGCCAGAGAGGCAATAAATAGCATTTCCATAATATGGAGAGTAAAATAATGACAAAGGCAGCAGGACTGAATATATCTGAGCTTCTAGACAGGTGTGCCAGCTTCTCAGAAGGTGTTCTCCCAGAGTGGGCTGTGCAAAGCTGCTGAACACGGTGGGCAGAAGAGTTGGGAAACAGCAAATAGATGCTGATATGGCTGGTGGCTCTTAGCAGCAGTCAGTGATGTCTTAAAAGGACTTAATTGTGCACTACTCTTCCCTTTTCCCTGATAGAAGAGCAGTAATGGTTTGTAGTGGGAACTTGAATAGTTCTGCAGGACAGTGGAGGTTTTTGGTTGGTTTTGCTTCCAGGACCTGGTTTTGCAACCCTTATGCAGGCGAAGGACTCTGGCCTGGAGCCAGTCAACTCTCATGAAGGTTTCAGAGCAAGGCACCTGAGCACACAAGTGTGCAAACACAGAGGTCTGTGTACACTTTTTCCTTCAAAAAACACGATGAGCAACTTCTTGCTGTTTTCCTGCTGTTCCCAAACAGCACTGGGTATCCATTTCGCAGCTGGAGAGAAGCAGTGCCACTTTCATGAGCAGTGTCAGATCTTTACATGCTCTGCATAGGACCTGTCTCCTCCTCTGATCAAAGGGAATGCAATTGGAGCAGCTGCCATAGGAAACCACGATCCATTTTCTCACCAGAATAAAGTCTCTGAGGCAGGGGCAGCTCGGATTTTATTTCCGGCGTGAAACGCTCAGGGAGACTCTTGGCTGCTGTTAGAGTTTTGTTTTGAGCCCATTTGTTCTGAGCTGCCTTGTGGCTGCACTCTTAAATTTGTGTATTTGTGGTTGTGAGAAACAGCTGTTTGAGAGCAGCCCTGTTCTGGTCATCGATCTGGGTGGAGGATGGAGGCAGGAGTAAAGTGCTCCATGCTGCACATCTCCACGTGAGGCACTTCAGTGCAGCTGCCTTTAATCTGGGCTCTCTTAGCAGGCCTGCAATTAGGGTAAGAAAATAAAATAAATAGCCCCAAAAGGTGGCAATGTGATTAACATCTTAGGAACTGTGCAGAGCAACTGCTGGCAGTGCAGTGTTTGACTTTGTACCACTTGGCACGATGGAACCTGAGATCATCAGAGAATGAAGAGCTGAGCTGGGGCTTTCTGTGCAAAATAAGTAATATATTTAATTGTTACTGTGATTAGTATGGTTACTGTGCATTGGTGATAGTTCTTTCCTTTGCCTCCTTTATACATAGGAAAATGGAATATTACCCAGTTCTCCTATAGATTTTAGGGTAAAGCATTTGTGCTGAGGTGGGGGTCCCACTGCCCCAAACTGTCTCTCCTGTGTGTGTTCCTGAACCTTCTTTAATAGCCAGTCTCTGCATTTAGAAGGAAAATCTTCCCCACCTTGCCCTGACAGCCTGGCTCCCTATTAACAGTTTTGGAAAAAGTATTCTACTTTAAGCTTACACATTTATTGTTCATCCTGCATTCTGTCTGACAATCCTAAATTCCATCCATCACACCTTACTGTGATGCATGCACATCAGCCCATGCTGTAGCTGTGTTTCCTCTTCATTTGCTCCTTGCATTGCGTGGTTGCAGAGAAGAGGGATTTTACTCACAATCTTAACCATGAGAGGCTGTTTGCTTTGGGACAGTTTCCTTGAGCTGTCATTCTGGAGTTAGTCTCAAGGTTGGGTCAGCATATGAAGGGCTTGTGGTTTTCCCAGAGCTGGGAAGGGGTGAGCAGTTACACCTGAGCACAGGTGATCTGCCACAGCCTGGGCACAGCAGGCTTTGTCTTAACCCACTCTCCACAGGCAGCAGCTCTGAGGGGCTTCCCACTTCCTACCTTTGCAACTTCGATGTGACACTACCTCAGAGGGCAAGATAAAATGAATTAAAAGGTGTTTTTCCACATCTGTTTCAAAGCATAGCTGTTTGATTGAAAAGACAGATACCCCCTTCCCTGATTTGTGAGGGATCATCAATGAAAGATAAGCCCCTTATTGCTCAGAAATCTCTTCCTCCCAAAGCCCCACAGCTGGAGAGCAGGTGTAATCTCTCAGATGATGGGTGAGTGAACAAGATTACTGTCCTGGGGAGAATTATTGTACAATTGATTTCATTTAGGTCACAGAGCAAAGATTGTTATGTGGGAAGACTTTTGCTGGGGGCCAGACAGGCAGTGCTGAGGCTGGATGTGAGATGGGAGCACTTGGCTTTGGCTCATCTGTTCACAGAGTCATGGGAAGCCCATCCAAGTCATGTTTTACCTCATGCCCTTCCACTGTGGGGAAGAGAAATGGCTCCTCAGCCTCTGCTAATAGCATCCCTGAGATGGACATGCTTTTCCAAACCGAAAGCACTTGTCCAGCCTATAAATCTTTGGGATATTTGGATGCTAATGCTGCAAAGGAGCAAAAATCAGGGCACAAACTGGGAGTAGTTGCACTGGCAGCCCTGAGGTGCTGTAGCCAGGGGCTGGTGCTGGGAAGCACCAGCAACTCTTCCTGGTACAACAATTTGCTTCCCACAAGCAGAGGGAGGGTCAGCTGCATTTTAATGGCAGTACCATTTGTTTGCAGAGCTTTTGAAAATGAAGATTGACTAATATGTTCTGGATTAACTTGTTCATATCTCCAAGACCCAGAACAGCTGCTGTCCCAGGTTTTTTTCTCCTTCCCTTTTGGGTTGGTTTGTTGTGGGTTGTTTCTTTTTTTTTCCAAGTGGCCATGACTCAGCCCTTCCCTGCTGCTCTCTGAGTTTCCTGGTTTCTGAATAGGCTATTCTTGGGACAGCAATTCCTGACAGATAGGAACAAGGGAAGTGTTGTGTTGTTTTCTTCTCTATTTTTTCTGTGGCCTGCGTAAATTCTCTGCTTCCCTCTGATTTTTGCCTTTTTCCCACATTACTGAATTGTCCTAAATTGTTGGATGTCATCTGGGGCACGTTTTTGCCCTTGTAGCAAAGGAGCCCTCTCAGACATGATCCAGACTTGCACAGCAGCAGCTTTTCTTTCCCAGCAGGATGGTGGTGAAAATCCCAAGCAGGGAGGGTTAGACTGCTACAGCTCTGTCTATTGTAAAGCTTAAATGTGCCTTGTTGCAGCCCCTCTGGCTCCAAGGAGCTGTGCTTGGCTCTCCAGTGATCTCCTGGGCAAGGGGTAGGTGGATCCAGGTGAGGACCAGCACGTGGTGCCACGTCCATGGAGGATCAGGTGGCTCAGCCAGGCTGTGGGTACATGCTGCCTTTGTGTGTACTGTCACAAGTAAAGGGAAGATACCACCTAGAATTTAAAAACAATGAAAAAAACCTTTCTGATGGCTTGTTTATTGCCTCCCTGCAGATGGCAGAGGCTGGGAAGCTGAAGGATGCTCTCTCTGAAATACTTCATGGTGCAGTTACCCAGCCTTTTTAAACAAAAAGCTTTTGGATTTGTTCTGGAGTTTATTTCTCTGTAGTGTGGGCTGGGGAAAGTTACCTGCTGTGGCAGGGAGCACCTCCAGGCCGGGTGTGCTGGCTGCTGCTCTTGATTTGCAGTTGGAAGTGAATGAGTTGTCTAATACTAAACAACCTTTGCTGGGTTTTATTTTTATTAAGAGCCCAGCTCTTTCTGTCAAGACACAGTTGTATGTGAGGGGGAAATAGCCTAAACTGTTGTGTATTTTGCCTTGAAAATACAGTTGGCTTTTTGAAAAACCAGAGGGACTGTATGTTTTCTCAAAGCCTGTAGTTACCAAGAGAAATTTCTCAGACTAGAGGGCTCAAAACACAGGGGCAGTGTTCTTCCTTAGCATCCCTCCACGTTTTTGGATATGCTGTATTGTTGTTAAGCCAACCAAGAGAAAAGCTGCTCTGTGTGAGGAGGCT